TTTCTCCGCGGTCGCTGTTGTCGCGCTGCTGATGACATCAGCGACGCGGTTTAATCGGGCGCGCTTTAGTGGAGCGCGGTTTTGTCGTGCCACGGGGGGTGGCGACAGACTTTATTTTCCCGGGTTCCAAGATCATTGCAGATGGAGATTGCAGCCGAGAAATTAAAAGATGCTTGCTCCTGGGGAGGAAAGCTATGGCAAATCTAGACAGCTTACTAAAAAAACAGAGACATCACCCTGCCAACAAAAGTGTGTAGAACTGTGCATAGTCAAGGCTATGATTTTTCCAGTTGCAATGGATGGCTGTGAAAGTTGGACCATAAGAAAGGCTGAGCGCCAAAGAATGGAGGCCTTTGAACCCTGGTGCTGGAGAAGACTCCTACGAGTCCCTTGGACTGCAAGACTATCCATCCAGTCAGTCCTAGAGGAGATCAACCCTGACAGCTCTTTAGAAGGCCAGATCCTGAAGAGGAAACTCAAATCCTTTGGCCACCTATTGAGAAGGAAGGACTCCCTGGAGAAGAGCATAATGCTGGGAACGATTGAGTGGAAAAGAAGAAGGGGACAGCAGAGAATGAGGTGGCTGGATGGAGTCAGCGAAGCAATCGGCATGGGATTAAATGGACTCCAGAGGATGGTAGAGGACAGGAAGGCCTGGAAGAACGTTGTCCGTGGGCTTGCGATGGGTCAGACACGACTTCGCAGCTAACAAAACACATGCAACAGACATTTGTTTCCTATCCAGAGAAGTTTGAAAACATGCATTATCTACAGCACCAGCTGATAACCTTTGAAGACTATTGCTGACCTGACAATTAAAAAAGTAATAAAGGCGAAACACTGAAACATAAAGCTGGCAAAAAAAAAAAGATAACCTTTTTGGTAACTGTGGATACAGATGCTTTACAATTTAAATGGCCGAAAGTGTGCCCCTGTCCATATCTATTTAAAAAGCCAGCCTGGCTATGATCAGTGGAACATATTGATGATCAAATATTACGAGTCCAATCTGTAAGGGCTTGCACAGGATTGAATTCCACTGAGTTCTGGGGAATATCACCCAAGGGAATAAATTGCAAATTTGCAAGTTTATCTTCTGATACACTGAGATTGCAAGTGATTCAGAGTAAGAGTTGGAAGGGACCTTGGAGGTCTTCTAGTCCAACCCCCTGCTCAAGCAGGAAACCTTATATCATTTCAGACAAATGGTTGTCCAATCTCTTCTTAAAAACTTCCAGTGTTGGAGAATTCACAACTTCTGGAGGCAAGCTGTTCCACTGATTAATTGTTCTACCTGTCAGGAAATTTCTCCTTCGTTCTAGGTTGCTTCTCTCCTTGATTAGTTTCCATTCATTGCTTCTTGCCCAGCCTTCTGGCGTTTTGGAGAATAAATAGAATGAGGTGGGGTAGTGGAGGGGAGGGGAGGAGAGGAGAGGAGAAGAACAGAGCTGGAAGGGACCTTGGAGGCCGTCTAGTCCAACCCCCTGCTTAGGTAAGAAACCCAACACCACTTCAGACAAATGGTTATCCAACCTTCTTTAAAACTTCCAATGTTGGGGCATTCACAACTTCTGGAGGCAAGTGGTGCCACTGATTAATTGTTCTCACTGTCAGGAAATTTCTCCTTAGTTCTAAGTTGCTCCTTCACCAACTTATAAATCTTCACCAATAATCATTTAACTTATTTCGTGAAATCCTTTCATTCCTTTTCATGGATCAATTTAAAAGACCACACAAGACAACTGTGCGTAATTTAAATACATTTCATGTTTTAATACATACAGTGTTTATTCAAGATTAGAAGAGTTTGATTTAAAACTCAGTACCAGGTGACATGTAGACCCATGTTTCATCCAGCAAAAGCAAGGTCAAGTTATATACAGCATGAAGATGCCCGCTGCTGACATTTACACCTGATGAAAGAATTGATTCCCCCAGACATTAATTTCTGTATCTCTCTAGCTCTTCTCTCCGTCAAACCTCCAGCAAATCGTATCAACTGGAAAGCAATTTATAACTCCTGTCATTTTTATTTCGTCATTTTTGCTACCATCAGCATCCGGAGTGGGAGTGTGTCTTCTACCCAGGTGTTGGGAGAGTTGATCATTCTTTCCCATAAGGTGGCTTCATCTAATGAAGAGTCCATCCAATCCACTGGAATGCCATAGCTTTTGCCTAATAAAAGTGTTTAAATAAATGAGATTAGTAGCAAATATTGATTAGTTATCTGCACTGTGATACAGGTTGTCTTCAATTGTTTAGTGACGTTTGAAGTTGCAACGGCACTGAAAATGTTTTCTACATTTCCAGAGAGAGAGGGACAGAGAGGGAAGGAAGGAGGGAGAGAGAAAAGAAAAAGAAAGAAAGAATAGCACTTAGACATATATATCATTTCATAGTGTTTTTACAACCCTCTCTAAGTGGTTTACAGAGTCAGCCTCTTGCCCCCAACAATCTGGGTCTTCATTTTGCCCACCCCGGAAGGATGGGAGGATGTCATCCTTGAGCCAGTGAGATTTGAACTGCCGAAATGCAGCTAGCAATCAGCTGAAGTAGCCTGCAGTACTGCACTCTAACCACTGTACCACCTCGGCAAGAAAGGAAGGAAGGAAGGAAGGAAGGAAGGAAGAAAAAAAGAAAGAAAAAGAAAGAAAATAAAAAAGAAAGAAAGAGAAAGAAAGAAAGAAAGAAAGAAAGAAAGAAAGAAAAGAAGAAAAAGGATAGAGAGAAAGAGAAAGGAAAGGAAGGAAGGAGGGAGAAAGAAAGAAAGAAAAAGAAAAGAAAAAATAGAGGAAGAAGAAAGAGAAAACAGAGAGAAGAGAGAGAGAGAGAGAAAGAAAGAAAGAAAGAAAGAAAGAAAGAAAGAAAGAAAGAAAGAAAGAAAGAAAGAAAGAAAGAAAG